TGCGRCTACGTCTCAGACGGTCCAACCGTTGAGTCCAATTTTCGATGACTTGTTCGAGCATTTTGACTGGTAACTGGCGAATGACACGCGTGATGTTTTGCTCCATAGCCTGAATCGCTGCGCGATTATCCGCATAGACTTTATATATTCCCACAGGAAAAGGCCTATCRGTATATCACACTATCTTGTTGGCCAATTTACCGGAACAAAACGTGAAATTATCTGCTCAACAAAATGTTCTCTCAATAAATTCCATGATTGATGCGATGCGTGGTAAGAGACGTTTTGTTAAAACCAAATGTCGGCGAGATCACGAACTTCAGTTTCAGACATCAAATAGTCGGTTATCATGGCGCAATAATAGGCGCCAGTGACGGTTACATTCTGACTGGCATTATTTTTGAGGAAACGGTCCACTCCACCAACCCACAAAACCACACCAAAACGTACTTTTTTCTGGATGAAATAGCAGCTCTTTAATCTCTTCAGGTTACACTTCGTCCTAAATGTGGGAATTTTGCTTGTTGACATACCCATTGTGACAGAAATCGACCTCATCGCTAAACGAAATTTGGCTCGGAARCGTCAGATCTTTTTGAAACTTTTCAACAGCCCATAGAATGAGGTGATGTCGCTTGGGAAGGTATTCGGTATTTTGCAGTATTTTCCACGCTTTCAATTTAAGATATCGGCGTAAAATGCGCCAAGTCGTTCCATACGTCAGTCCGAGTTGCTGCAAGCTCAGATAGGCTGCAACATAATATTCGATGTAGGTGTCATTGGTCCACGAGAGGGTAATAAATGGTATGAAATAGAGTGCAGCGCGGCTCACTTGCCCAGTTGGCCCCCTACGAATTGAATTGAATATAAAAAAATGAAAKTTCGATGTTGGCATTTCATCGACTGTACGAGATTCTCTTTTCCCATGTATGGTGAAAATATAAAAGGCAATCTCTTGGTTTCATAGTAGTTCCCATTATTTTGCAATCCTACTTTTTGAACTTATACATGTATTCCATCGTTGCTTATTGCACAATTCTACTTAGAGGTTATTATCGGGTTTTATCGGTCAATGTTTTATTTCAACCAGGATTATCGAAATTTATCCAAAAAAGGGATCTTCTCAGATGTRAAAACTAAGGCTCTCCTTTTTCAGAACTTAAATGGGTCATTCCATTATTTTAAACACGAATGTTGAAAATTGTGCCACGTAGTGGTCTCAAAATACCGAAAAACTTATACTTTCCTGTTTCAGACCTTTTTTAGATCAYTGTATTATTTCAAGCATAAACATATGTATATCGAAATTTATCTCAAGAATTGTGTTCTCTTCAGGATTATTGAAATGTGTCTCACAAAGTATCCATGGGTTTAAATAATCATGTTTCCAATTTCAGAATCCGTATAATGTTATTATAAATTAAATTATTTTTATTAATTTCTGGAAAATCAAATTCCAAAATTATTCAAGTAAATTTCTGTGAAATTGTATAAAAATAGTGATAAGGCTTTTGTATGTAATTGCATAGTATTTATGTGTATATAACGGCGTTTACAAAATATTTAAATACTTTTTTCAACACTTGTTGTGGTTACTAAGGCTAATTATACCAAAAGAAAGAAAGCAAATCAGCGAAAATATTATTTCAGTAACGGGAAACGGGATAAATGAAAGTTGCTGAGGCGATATGTTTTTGTGCGTACGGTTGGCAAGTTGCCAAATTTTTATTGCTTCCTTTATTGTAGGTATTTTAATTACAAARTTTGTTTTTGTTTTGTCTGTCTCATTAACTAGCTAGTCTCGAGCTGTCAATAGACCATGGCTAGTTGGCGACAAAACGCACGTAGTCGTTTCTATCACATAAATTCTTGTCCATAACGTCCTCTTTGTATTTTATTTTCTCTTGCCTTGGTTTGCTAATTATTAATTTTGCAGGTATAATTAAAATTATTACCTCATTCTGCTGGATAAATAATTTTATCAGTGATTTTAAAATACTCTCAAATTCTCGCAATCGCATTTTTATAATTTCGCGTTGATTTCTGCACTTTTTTCCCAACACATTGGGATTATAAATTCCACAGATAAGATATCATAAGTACGTATAGTAAATGTTATCAGAATGCTATGTGACTAAATAAAGAAAACTGAAGGTTATCTAATAACAATGCATCAAAATGTCTAAAGAAAACTATTATAAACCTTTTGAGGTGAACTTTTAACATAAAAATATTTATATATAAACATTAAAAATTAAAATCATTTGTTTCGGTTGTGAGAGCGACACCCTCACAGCTGTCTAGGTATACGAGTACTAAAATTCTTTATCAGTACTTGATACAGAGTTCGTAATTATTTCCATATACTATTTTAATTATAATGTGTTTGCATACTAAAGTGTGCCGAAYATTCAATTTATAAGCACTTAATAGTTTAATATCATGATACGATCGAACAGTTAAATGATAAGGAAGCACAAAAAAGGTAAAAATGTGTAATACAAAGCCTGATATTAGATCATTAACATTTTTATGGTGGAACGATACCATATAAATCAGGTAATATAGTTTCCGAAAGCAAAAAAGTCATAGTAGAATGAAACAAAATGAAAGTATAAAATAAAAACTGAACTTCTCGCCACCTGAAAATATATGTGAAAAATTGAGATTACTCAGTTTTTGAGTTTTTTATTTTTATCTTAGAAAAAAATTACTGCAACAAATATGGTGTGAACTTCGCTCTTTTTGTCTTAAAAACAACTATGAGCAAAAAAATAGTAAGACTTTTTTCGTAATTTYAATATTCTAAATTTATGTCATCTCTCTCAATGGAATCGAAATATAGTGRTTGCGACACGATATTGGTTGAAAATTTGGCGAAAAACTGACGAAGAATCAATGCAGTACGCCGGTGCAAGAGCTGTCGGCCCATAATTCCGCCCTCTTCTTTCAAATACCTTCGCGCAAATGACGCATAACATTCAAAGGGTATTCATTATTGACAGTTGGTCGATCGGGAGGAATTCGGAGTATACACACCTAAATAATCTAAGAAAATTGCCAACATAACCGTCATATTATGCTGATTGATCGACTGTATTCGGGTCCTAAGCATAGACCCAAGACTGATTCCCAGTAATAACACGTTTCGCGATATCCTGCTAGTCGGAAAACATTGTTTTATTTAGCGATTTTCGGACCAATCGTGCTTTCACTTTTCTTAGGCCCTGACTGATCCACTCGACATTCGAACAATTCCAGTATGATCTCTKACTCTTGATTGTCGATACTCAAGCACCACTTCCGTTATTTTATTGATGTTGATGACCGTTCTGGACGTGGTTCGTCTTTCAACGCGTTCTTGACCCTCTTTGTATAATTTGTACCGATCAAAAACACTTGCTCGCTTCAAACAATTATAACTGAAGGTTGAACTGACTTTTCCAACATGCAGAACGTTTCRGCACCAGAAATCTTCTTCCGCACACAAAATTTAATGGAACTTCTTTGTTGTATAATTTCACACATCGTAAATATCGCCGAATGCTCTTTATGTACTTCAGAAAGACAGGCGCATACTAAGCAGTAATGATTATTGGTATGTGGCATTTGGACAGATGCCATTGATGACTGTCAACCTAGAGAAGAAATATTTCCACGAGAATTTCGTGCGAAATTTAAATTAAAAGATCTTTTTGCTCACAGCAGTATACTGCATTTTTTTTTCAATTCAAAATAATTATTTTACTACTTAATTTGATATCGGAAAAAACTTTAATTTCCAAGCGAAAATGCAGACGTCAAAATATCTTTTTTTTTAAGTCGGCAGGCTTTTTCTTAGTTGGAATTTCTATTTTCTGGTGATGTAAAAAATATGTACATTACTATGGAAACTTTCTCAGAAAATGCATAAAATGACCTTACTAAAGTATATATATTTTTTAATATGTTTCAAMCAACTACAATTTTTCTTTTTTACTTTTTATCTTTTTAAAAGCTTTTCCACTGGCCTAAAATTGGATTAAAGTTTTCAAATTTTTTTTTTAAGTATTAACTTCTTTCCCGTTTTACATTTGTCTATAGTATTAATGGCTCATTGGTAGTTTATTTATAGTTCTCTCTAAGAGTATCGGTAGTATGGTGTCTTACATATAAGAGTACCATTTAAGTAAAACAAAACTTAATTTATTATCATTTAAACGTGGGTTCAGAATTTCCAGAATTTTTAACTGGCTCACTTGCTTTTAGCCAACTTKTATAATAACTACCAGATCACTCCTTTGGTCAACCCACTTGGGGGAAAATGTCCACATATAGACGAAGTTTATTTATATCCAAATCCATACGACCGCTTTATARGGAGGCAACTGGGCGAGTGAGCCGCCCAGAATTTCATTTCATGACGTTGACTCCCTTTCTGTGGCCCAATAACGCCTAYATCACATATTATGTTGCGGCCTATTCGAGCGAGTCGCCGCTCACCGTGCGACTTTTTTCTAATCTTCAATTTTTAAATTCGTGATATCATGTGAATGGAATGTTCCAATAGATTAATTCAAAAAGTTACATAAAGGTATTGAATTAGTCTTGAATATAAAGCGATTAATTGATAAGGATTAATACCGAGGGACAAATAAAGCGCTTTACGGAGACGACATTTTATTTTTAAGGTCTAAAAATATCTCATGAAATATATGTATATAATCACATTATATAGAGTCATATTCCGATTTTAAGTTTTTTTTTTTAATTAATCTAACAAACGAACGACTATTCCAAACGATAACTTATCTGCCTGCTTGATAAGTTAATGCTAATTGCAAAACAAAAACAAAAAGAGTAAAAATCCATTATAAATATATGATTTACTCGAAAAATATTTAGCGTTTGATTAGTTACTCAATAAAAAAAATATACACTCTTTATATAAATATGTAAATATTGGCATTTGAATAACTTGTTCAGTAACTCATACAATATTTTTCGCATTTTTATTACAGAGGAGCAAGAACGTGTGCAGAAGAAGACATTTACTAATTGGATTAATTCGTACCTCTCGAAGGTAAGACTATATGAAAGTTCAAAGGCATTTGCTTTTTAGAAAAAAGAAGAAAATTACATTTAAATATGTATGTATGTACGTGTGTTGGACTATATAATTTATTGTAGCATGTGTAATTTGTATGTAATTTGAGCAACTCTATTTGCTTTTAATTACCAGCTTTGTGTAAATGTRTTGTACATTGCCATTACCTTGCAATACCCAGATATTAAATTGCACACGCATGCAAATAGAAATAAAWACTTTTATAACTAGTTTTAAGTAGGCAACAATGTTAACTTTATACCTTAGGTTTTATTGTTGTTAATTTGCTTGTGATGCTTGAGAAAAGGCTGCAGCAAGCCTGCAACAATTCGTCATTAAATTCTAGTTAGTGGCCATAATTGCTTTCAAAAATTTGAATTCTTTATGGCGAATTAATGGTAACGCTCGTCAATTATATCAATTTGGCCATGAGAACTGTCATTGAGATTGACTGGTCACAGGATAAGTCTAAATAATATTTTTCTTCGTAAATGAAAATTGTTTGAGCAATTGAGTTGACAATTGTGAYCTTTTTTTAAATTTATGTATGTGTTAGGGGGGTTCTTAGGGTTAGGTTATACGGGCTGGCTGTCATACCATACATAGACCTACTGGGGGCTCTTATGAGTAGGGAGACATTTTTAAAACAGTTTTTTTAATTTCACTTTCACTACTTTTGTAGTCGAAGGAACAYAAGATTAAGTGTCTATTGTACAGTTAAGCGGTTTGAGTACAGATTTTTCTTGAGAAAATTAMGTTAAGATTTTATTTTTTATGCCCAGAATTCTTACTAATGTTATCAAGACATATATCCGAAGTAAAGTTGTAACTTTCTTAGACTCTATAAAAACTCCTTAAAAGTGGGAGTAGTGAAAAGACATACTGAAAGGGCACATCACAAGGGTTCTTTCTCCACTGCTATGAATCATGGTGGTAAACGACATACTTAAAGAAGTCGAGGAACGAGGCTGTCGGGCCTAATCTTACGACGTTTGTATGAGTTAATCTTAACGTGSTATCCATCTAGACGCATAGAAGCGACTTAGCCGTCAACTGAAGTAAAACTCAAAGAGTTTTGTTTGCTAGGAAGATCCCACATGTGCATCTTCCCTCATTCGGAGACTCATGTCTTCAACTATTGGATAAGGTAAAATGCCGAGGGTTTATCCCTAGTAGAAAGCTTTCATGGATCCCAAATATTGCTGTTAAGGATCTATAGGTGGTGAAAAGGTGGGGACTCTTACCAAGGACAGCAATGTTCTATGCCAAAGAGTGGCTCCTATCGGCATTTCCGTTGCTCTATGCACTAACAATAGTTCTTAATGCCATTTTAAACATAAAATTGAGCACCTGCCAGTACTTTGCTGCGAAGTATGCTGTAAGGCTAAGGAAAGCTGGGTATATGAATGGGTCTGAAAAAGAATACGCCGAAATTCTTCATTCTTTAACTGCATTACTGAAAACGTGGATGATTACCGACGAGGGAGATATGCATTGAGAGATCTCACTGGAGAAAAGACGCAATTAACTTTTTCATGGATTGGTCGAAGCTAGTAGGATTTTGAGTTGGAGTTTCTTTAAGGAACTTTCCGTCAATCCGTAGTTTTTCAGACAGAAATTTTTAATTTTTAGTTGGCAGTAAACGTTCTTCTACGGCGTTCAGTCTCTTTCAGAGAAGTGACTATTCACTGGGATAGAGCGCCAATACTTGCGCTGAAGTGGGACCAAGTTGGATCTCTATTGTCGTATTGCATTCTAGTCCTAGATCAATGGACTTCGTGTGCATACAAGCGTTGGTCGACGACCAGTGCCTCTACACCAGTGATGTTCTWTTGRCCTAGAGTAGAAAGCAAGAGATCTATCGAACTACTTGCCCTAAGCAAAGTTCTTCTTTTCGCAATTTTAGGAGTGCTTCCTGAWTACTGTCCAATAGGCAGTCATGTGGTAATTATAAAAATTTTATCGGAGACGAGTTGCCAAAATTGTATGAGGAAGGGTGAGCCGGAAACATCCAYACACTTTCTCTACCATTGTCCAGCTTTTACAAGACTGAGGTTGAAACATCTCTTACATTCTTACATAGTCAAAATTGACATTGACCGTCTCAACGAATCCATACACGAACATTACTAATCGGTTTAAAAACTAGGTTKTGATATTTTTCTTAAAATATGAAAAAATCTAGCTTCCTTCTTAGTCCGGTTCAAATTTGATCAGATGGGGATRAACTGGTGCATACTAATCGTTAGTTTAATGAAAGTTTAATTCAATGGTTGATATACTTTTTTAAGAACTACCCTAATGTTTATTCACTAAATTATATCCAAAGGTGACGCTTTCAGCACAAAACTCCCAGCCAAATTTTCACATTTCAAATGTGCTCATAAAAATTTAAAAAATCATTAAAATGTACCTATATACAGCAATAAAAACAATTTCGAAAACATTAAGAAGATTGTTAGTACACGCTCCAACAGATTCGTATATTGTTTTTGAAAATTCTCAACCACAAAAAATGMATTAGACATCATAAATGATGACTCATTGCAATCCTCATCCCACTTTTAGAAAAAGAAAATTCTATGGAAAATTGTCTGACAGTAACGATGACTAAGTTCCAACAAATATTACTTGCGCACCCAAAACCCCAAAAAAAATTTAAAAGTAAAAACAAAGTGAGCAAAATGCAATATCATTTTCAGAACTAATGAAAAATTTCGTTTGCTACAGAAATAGAATAAACATGTGCAAAAAAATACTGAGCGAATGAATAGCCATGTGGAAGACATTGTGCCAGCAGTGGAGCTTTCGAAGCAGGCGTCGGACACGCGAAAAAAGGCAGAGTGAAAATTTTTGAAAGTGCAATGTACTCATACACAAATTCACCTACATACACATATGCAGTCAACAAATACTCATACATACATATATGTGTGTTTGCAGGAAGATCTAAGATGACTAAAGCAAATTTTGTAATGACCGATGCGGCGAGCATTTATTCTAGTGAATGACCATTAGTGGCTCATATAAATATTTGCACACACATGCAAGCATTTGGTCATATATGTATATGTATGTACATTTTCGTTGTTTTCTGGTCTGCATTGGCCCCGTTGGAATTTCTCTACTTTCCTTTRTTGCAAGGCTGCTGCTGCTTCTTCGGCTGCCACATATTTTTATCTACCAAATATATTTAGTGGGCATTGTCTGAAAATACTCACAATGCAGCTGGCGGTTTTGCGTACTTTTCGAGGTGAAAAGTAGCAATAAGGAAATGAACAAAGAATAAACAAAATCTTAAGTAAACAAGTGCGAAAAGTTCGGAGTTTCACAAATACAAATAGAAGCTTTTTGTTTTTGGTTAACAGGCTACACGCGCTTAGTCTAAAATATAGCACGAACTGAGTGCGAGAAGATTACTTCTGGTGTCTTACATGTATTAGTATATACAAATGTATGTATGTACATTTGTCTGTATATATATATGCATGACTAAATGAGTCATCTATAGCTTTCCTTCAAACGCTGCTGTTAAGTGACGTCAGAACTGAGAATTTTCTCTAGTAAAAGTAGTGGTGGATATTATCATACCCAAATGAGAGAAATAAATCTGTTTAAAATATTCTTCACGTCATTCTTCTTCTTCTATAGTACTACAATCATGGGTCGGTCTGAGCTGAGAACACAAAACTTCGTCGGTTCCTGTACCTGAAGTAATTTCGAGGAATAGTGCTGAATTGACAGTCTTTGTTCGGATAAAAATCCATCATTTGAACGGACTTACATATATTATTCGCTAGTTCAAGCCAATTGCACATCCCAAGTTTAGACAGGTCGCTATGGGCGAAGTCGTTCGATGTGTGGGCGCCGTTTCTTTCGTTGTCCATGCATGGTCGAAGTAACTTTTCGTTGGAGCATTATTTTCAATGTAAACGATATGGCCGAACCCGAAAATTTGTTGGCTATTTATGCGCTTAACTACACTCATGTCGTCTTAGAGTTCACACTTGTTCAAAGTTCCGAATCAACCGAAGAGTTCGTATCTGTACATATTATCTCTTGTACAGTTTTTTTTACTGTTATACATGTTCAACTTGTATGGTCGGAGTGCTAACCTAGTATATTGTATTACAAAATATGTATCGTTGTTAATCCATAAATAATCCCAATTATTTTGTGCTCAAACACTGTAGAGCAAAATGAGCATTGCGAAGAATTTACAATTCGTTAGCCCCGCGTTAGCTCTGTTTAAGTGAGCTTCGTCTGTATATACTTGAACTAGTTGCTTAGTTTTTAAGATTTCGATCTRARTATATCCACTCGTCCTTTTTTCTGCAAGAAGTTGAAACCGCCGATATCGGACCACTTTAGCATATAGATTACATATACACTGATGTGTCTTTCTATAGACAGYTTGTTTATTTGCCAAGGCTTCTTCTCGAAATTCAGCATAGATTACACGGGTCAACACAAAATTTGACTATAACTTTAAAGCAGTAAATTTCCATGTTTTAGGTCGTAATTGGACGAAAAAAAATATATATGCCATGAAAATGTTTGCTTTTTTATTTAGGAAACCGCTTTAACGACATTTTTTAAAATATGAGGTTTTAATTTTGAATTGAAAATGAAATCACTTAAAAAAACATTTTTATTATTTTTATTAAGTTTTACTATCAAAATAACTTACAAAAAAGTAAAAAATTATTTAAAAGTGCCCACTTTTACTTTTTCTTTTATGTTCATAGGTACTATCTCTTAATAAACCCCAAATATGGTATTATTACTATAACTTTTACAAAAGCAAACTTGAAACGAAAAAAGGTATTTTTTTATCGTTTTTGTTCATAAAGAACGATTTTTTTTTTTGTTGAGTCATGTTATTGTTCAAGGTATTGGTACAGTGTCTGATTATACTGTTCTGATTGGGCAATTATAGCATATATCTGCCATACAAATTGATCGATCAATATCTG